GCTCCTCTGCCCATTTTGTAATTGGATTATTTGCTTTTTGTCTGTTGAGGTGTGTGAGCTCTTTATATATTTTGGATGTCAAGCCTTTATTGGATCTGTCATTTATGAATATATTCTACCATACTGTAGGATGCCTTTTTGTTCTATTGATGGTGTCCTTTGCTGTACAGAGGCTTTGCAGCTTGATGTAGTCCCACTTGTTCATTTTTGCTTTTGTTTCCCTTGCCCAGGGAGATATGCTCATGAAGAAGTTGCTCATGTTTATGTCCAAGGGATTTTTGCCTATGTTTTTATTCCTGCTTTAATTTTAAGGCCTTTTTTGTTCTCTGGATGTTCCTTCTTTGGTGCAGCCTGTTCTTATTTTATTAATGCAAAATCTTCTTTTATCTACCAAAGATATAAATGAGAATGGATTTGAAAAATTTTCTCTCCCTGCAAAAGTTACTTTCATCTGTTTCTTTACTTGGGTCTCTGTCATCTATAGTCCTGTGGTTGTCTGGTGATTCTTAAATATCTGCTTCTACTTAAATGTGGGGTCTTAGAAGGTTGATGGGAAGTTCTGAGCCTAAGAGGGGGTCTTGTTCACCTTGGGATCACTGTAGCATGATATGCAGGAATGCCACATGACCTAATCACAAGGCTTACAATTTCACACTGTAGTCTTAATATATGACATTGTGATCTATCTTGGGAAGCCTACATTTTTAATTTTCCAGATGTGTTAAAATCATTTTTTAAAATAAAACAACATCATTGGGATTTTGATTATAATTGCATTTCATTTATAGATTAGCTTGAGATAAGTGATATCTTTACAATATTGAATTTTCCTTTCAGGGGATGTGGAATATGTCCCATTTATTCAACCAGATGTCTTTGTTTATTAAGTAATTTATTATTTTTTGTTATTACCTTAATTTATTCAATAATATTTCTTCTATTAGTATTCTATTAGGATTTTGTTTGCAGAAATTGGGCAACATGCCTAGGTAACACAACTGATAAGAGGTAAAGGCAGATTCAAACTTGCACTTGGTCTATGCCATACTCTTAATCAATGTCATGGGGCAGTGAGAAACCTGGGTGATGAGTGAGGAGACCTGAGCACTCATCCTGGTTTTGTCTGGATCTTGGGCCCAAATCCCCATTTTTAGTTGACAAGGCCAGATTGGATATGTTTCAAAGGGCTCTTCTAGATCTAAAATGTTGAGTTTTTAAAAATCAACAGGCTGTAGTTTACAAGAAAGACATTTAAGTCAGAAGGCACTTGTAGAATAATAGTGATCATACTCGTGCAAATTTGGAAAATAGGAGTTGCCATCTTGGTAGCAGATGAAATTAATTACAAAATTAAAAAGAGCAATGCGATACACATCAAGGTCACCATAGAAGGTGGACATACATAGAACAATGAAGGCCTAGTAAGGATACTGAGCGCTCATATTCTACACAGGTACCAGGAAAGTTCATAGAAAGAAAGACTGGCAGAAATGCAATAAATGTATGTAGATCTATCTATACTTACCTATCAATCAAAAACGTACTGATAAAAAGTTATGGGAAAGAATGGGAATACTTAACAAATGGGGTGGGAAGGGGGAAAGGAAGGAATGGCAAATGGAATTAGAAGATCTGGGTATAGAATAACGAGGCAAGAGCTTATTGATACATTGTGTGAACCTAAAGGCAGAATGTGATAGTACACTGATGCAAATAAGTAGAAAAATCATCTTGCTCTTGAACATAAAAGGCATTTGGCAATTACAAAATGGCAAAATGTCCATATTACATAATCCCAGCTATGTGTAATAATCTTGAAAGAAAATAACATGAACAGAATTAGAAAGGTTCTCAACTACTTGAAAATTTTGAAATACTCCCTTAAATAATTTCTGAATTGGTGATGAATTCTTTCATACAGTAAAAGAAAACATTTCTACAAAATGAAAATAAAGCTATCCTAAGAATTCATACATATATTTTGACAGCACCCAAAATTCAGTGTAATGAGTAGACAGTTTCTAGACAAGGAAGAATAGACATAAAATCACTCAAATGAGCGCACATCTTTTATAGCTTAATGAAATGCAAATTACCATTGGTTAGAGTTTCATTACATGTCTATTAAACTTAAAAAAATGGTAAAATCCCAAGTTGGCAGGTTTTTTTTTACAGCACTAGGCTTAGTGCTGGAGGGATAGAAATGAAAAATAGTGAATCCTTGCCCTCCTGGAACCTAGTAATACAGAAAAGGCTGAGACAGCGGTGGCGCCCTAAGGTGGTGGAGCATTTGTAAGCATAACCATAAGGTGTTTAAAGCAATCCGTGAGAGTAAGTCACTGTAGGTCATTAGTAAAGGGCTACCAGAGAAATGTATAACTAGAATGTAAGTGGGAGTTTTGCCTCACTCAACGTGGTGTCCCCATCACCACAGCATCCAGTGCTTGCCACATAGCATATCCTCATAAGTATCTGTTGAAAGAATGAAACGTGTATATGGAATTACAGAAAAAAGTTAAAACACAAGTCCTGTATTATGTACTCTCTGGTTATACCCACATATAAGGATTTGTATGTTCCTTTTAAAAGTTCAAAAGGGACTTTGCAAAGATCTAAGTATAGCATATTTCTCTTCTCTGTCAAGATACTTAGATTCATAATTTTTAAATTAAGAAATATTATTTGTGCCTACACATACTACAACCCCTGTGCTCCTGCCCTATCTGTGCAATGTGTTCCCTTTTACTTGGGGACATTTTGGGTCTAGATTTATGAATCTAGATCAGTTGTCCTCAACCCTGGCTGCACAGTAGAATCACCTGGAGCTCTAAGCATTCCCCATGCCTGGGCACACTCCTACCCAAGCCCACTCACTCCTCTGAGGGTGGGGCCCTGTGTCGCTGATTGTAATGCTCAGCCAGGATACAGAGGTCACATAGGCAGCAAACTCTTCCATAATCTTTAAATTTTCATTGCATAAAATGTGCTCATTCTCAAGAATAATCTTTTATGATGTCTTTGTGAAATCCTGCATTCAGAAGTACCCTTCTAGTATTGTTAAGAAAACGTGTGTGAACTGGGTGTCCATAGTGAGGAATGCAATTAAGAAGCTGGAGTCACTTTGTTCCCCTTCTCCCCGCCTCCCCGAGTTCTAGTGTTCAGGGTGGGCGGAGTAAGTTAGCCTTCCTGGCCCCTGACCTTCTAGTGAGAGAAGATTGTTGGAAGTTGACTTATCAGGCTGTGTTTTCCTCAAAGGGAAGGCACGTCAGGTAGGCACTTCTAGAAGTTTTCACAGAGGCCAGAGTGAGAAGCTGACCAGGAGCGAGAGGCTTGGCTGGGGAACACGCCCTGGTAACTGACCTAAAACCTGTTCTATCCATGTGATAAGTAGGAGCCTGAGGGAGAGGTCTGGGAGCGCTGTGCAGTTTTGAAGATGCAAAGGAATCTGGCAACTCAGATTTTAGGCTGTGCATCTCTTGTTGGTGGGAGGACTCCACACCTGTGAGCTGTGCTTGGATCTTGGGGTCTGGGGAAGATTCTCTGGGACTGGGGAGACAGTGGCAGCCATGAAACATGTTTGCTGAGCTTTGTGCTGTCCCCAGATGTGCTTTCCCAGGGTGTGGCTCTCCTCCTGGGTTTGCATCTCCAAGACCAGGAACCTATCTGCTGGTCTTTCCCCTTTTCTACCTGTCCAGAGTTTGGCAGGGTTCATTGGTCTAACTTGGACCCTGTATACTGAGCAGCAGGGCTCATGTTGCCACTAAACTAAGATAGAACTGGGGATTAAAAGGCCCCTCTTGGGGCCAGTGACAGACCAGTGCTAAAAGGTCTTATGGATAACTGCATCCTTTCCCCTCCTCCAGGCTGCCCATTCTTCAGGGAGGGACATTTGCTTTTGTGGCACCCTCCCTGGCCATGCTCTCCCTTCCTGCCTGGAAGTGCCCTGAGTGGACACTCAATGCCAGCCAGGTGAACACCAGCTCTCCCGAATTCACAGAGGAATGGCAGAAGAGAATCCGAGAGGTAATGGGGTAGGGGGCTGCGTGGCAGGAGTGGAGGGGGCTCCTGGGTTGATTAGTTTGTTCAACATTCATTGCTCAGCTCACCACTAGGCAAGATCCTGGGCTTTAAGGTACTGTTGTAGGTAAGACAGACAGGACCCCTGCCTTTACGGAGCTGATGTTTCAGTGTGTGTGTGTGTGGAGCAGGGTGGGAAATATTCCAGGAGGTAGATAGAGAAGGCAAACATGCAGGGAGTTGTAAGTGCAATGAGGAAAGTAAACAAGGGTGATGAACGAGAGGGGGTCTGCGGCCGTCGGAGTGGAAGGACGGAGAGTGAAGGCGGTTTACTTGGAAACACTCATGGATTTCCAGAAGGGAGACCTCAAGCTCTAGGCAGCCCCGAGAGGCAGAGGGGCCTGTGGGTGATACTCCTGTTTTATAGGAAGTTATCAAGCGTCCTTAATGAACACCTGCCAGATGCCAAGTGCTGTGCTAAGCGCTGAGACTGCACAGAGGAGGGAGACACATCACAGAGATGGTGATGATGGTAGTTATCATCGCAGTTACTGAGCGCTTGGAGTTTTCCAGACATTCTGCTGCAAGTTTTTCATAGATGCGCACACACCATATTGACATATATCCATAGTAGGCTCAGATTAAGGAAAAACCTAATGTGCAGGACCAGGCCTGGCTCAGTGCCATTCTGTTAGTGGGCACTGTCTCCCTAGTCTGCCCACTGTGGACAGTTGTGCCCCTGTGGTTATCTGATAGGAAACCTGACCCTTGCTTACTTCGGTTGTCTCATCGGGGGAAAGGAATTGGTTGGTGGCCCTGAAGCAGGCTCTGAAGCTTGGCTGTGCTTCAGGTTGGCTTATCTCAGTGATAGGTAAGGAGGTCAGCACACTAAGGTCCTTGGCAGAGAGCTCACCACACCCTCAGGGACGGCAGACTTGATAGCCCCCAGACCCAACATGTTCCCCTAGCATGGGGGGCAGGGTCAAGGGTGGCTCGTGGGTGATGTGCTGGACGGAGAGTGAAGGCCGCTTGTGGTCTCCAGGAAGGCCAACCATCCCCCTCCCAGCTCGAACCAAAACACCCGGGCCCGGAGCTAAGCCGGGACCACCTCCTCTGGAGCAGGACAGTCACACAAGGACCGTATGATGGTGGGGTCCCAGGACAAGTAGTTTGCTCAGGTCTGAAGAGAGCGCTCACTTCTCACCTTCAGCGCTGCCCACCCCACCCCGAGCTCACTAGTGCTGGACCAAGGACATTCCTAAACTCAAGACCTAGGGCCGCGTCTGTTCCCTAGATACCCCTGGGGGCCAAGCTAACTAGCCTTAGACCAGCCAGGGTCCATCCTGCAGGCCCTCCAGTCCCTGTTCTGCATCTTCATGGCCTTATGGCTGTGACCGTGGTCACATCCCCTCTCTGTGAAATATAAAGGAACAGGGAAGACAGAGGAGGGGACATGGCACAAGACTCCTCTTCCTATTCTTCCCCACGTTAGACCAACAAGAAGGAAGACAACTGACCAACAGTTCAGTGCATCCTCGTACCGTATGTTAGGTGGTTCTGCTCAAGCAGAGGGATGGGGTCCACCCTTCCTCTGCCTTTTGCTCCGTTTGGGTGCTCACAGACTGGCTGGTCCCACCCACACTGGGGAAGCCATCTGCTTCACACAGTTCACCAATTCAAATGTGAGTCTCTTCTGGAAACACCCGCATAGACACACCCAGAAATGTTCTACCAGCTATCTGGGCATCCTTCAGTTGAGTCGGCTGGCTTTCACCTGTCCTGGATTTTTGCCGGGTTGATTGGACAATCTCAGAATGCCATGCGTCATACCACCTTTTCCAAAATTAACCATCAAAGTACGCATATGTTCATCTTTACTAAACACTAGTAAATACATTTCCAAAGTGGATGTTCCTATGTACACTCCTACCAGCCGTGTCTGTGAGTTCTGGTTATTCCACATGCTCACCAACATTTTCTCTTTTCTGTGTTATTCGTTCTGATGAGTAGATGGGGGTAACCTTGTATCATTCTTTGATGATTCTATTGAGTGATTTAGAGTTAACTGGAATTGCCTCTCCTCAACTTGTAGTCTGCCTGACCTCCATGAGCGATTTTTTTTCTCCTATGCTGACCACATTAGCTGGTGACTGGAGTCCAATATCCCAATATAGAGTTAGATACCAACATTTCCATGATTTTCATTTCACTGAATATCATGTTACTGACTTATGAACTCATAACTAGCCCACAACCCATCTTAATGTTGCACCAAAGTTCAAGCAGCAGGCCATGTCCTCCTACGCCAGCACCAAGGTGGGAAGGAGCTACATTCACGAGGTTCACTCTTCATGGTCCACCCACTACAGCCCAGTGTACTCTGGATCCGGTTTTATTAGATGTGTTCCATTTTGGTAGAATCAACTCTGATGCCAGCATCCCTGATCCTAGGTGAAGATGTATGTAGAAATATTGCCGAAATCATTTTCTTATTTTAAAAGTAAAGGGCAAAGTAGTGTCATTTGAGATACTAGTTTGGTGGCTCTAGTTCTTTCTGCCGCCGTCTTTCTGTTTCCTCCAGGACCTCTTCTTACCCCATTCTCTTGCTCCTTTTTTTAGAGGGGGTTTTGAGTCCTTCTCTGCCATCCCTCAGATGGTGGGCAGCAAAGGTAACCTAGTTAAAAATCTCCTTGAGCGTCCTTCTCCAAGGAGCTTTTAAATGATTTAATAAGTATATTGTCACTGGGTTCTCTCTGCGGGAAAGCTGCGTCCTGAAAACTCCAGACTTTCCAATCTGGCCCATAAATACCATCAAATTCCAGTAAGTCAAATTAAATCTATTTCTATTATTCTTATCTTAGGAGATACAACCAAATCTCTAGTCCTAGGAAAATAGGTTTTCTTTACCCCCTCATTTCTCAACCTGTCAATCTGAAACTGTTGCACTGGTGGTTCACTTTTGTGCTTCTCCTAGTTACCTTGATCTTACACCATCCTGTCCTGCAAAGCCAGACCTTTGTGCTTTTGTCATGCACATTTTGTGGCTCCGAACACACATTCTAATTTTTCAGTCATTTCACTGCTTTGGGGAAGTGATATGAAATATAAAAAGATCACTTGATATTATATTTCTTAGTCTACTCCTGAAGTGATCCCTGAACTGTTTGACCTGTACATTGATAGTCATGTTGTAGTAGCCCAGGCTGGGGCTTCAGTTGCAAAATAGGCAAAGCTCAAACCAGAAATACCAGTTAAAAGAAATTTTACAACCTGCCATGCTCGGTGAAATGTCCAGCATAGGCAGCCCGCCAACTCTGTAAAGGGCCATATAACCTCAGATTCTCCTCCCAAAGGTGCATGTGCTCACTTCTCCTCGTGATCTGCACCATTCTGGCTAATAAAGGCGACTGCAGATGGAAATGGGGATTATGTTGCTTGTGAGCCCATGTACACATGGCTTGTGACCCTAGGGGTCATGTTGCGGGCTCTAGTGACCACATTCAAATTCATCCTTCCCTCCTCTTTTTAAGACTTCAGGGCATCAACATAAATCACCATTATTTGAAATTTGACTATGAAGTTCTGTCCCACAGAAGGTGAAATTCCCATAGAGCCTTCTGTTATCCACTTGTCAGACCACACTGCTAGTCCATTGGCCATCACCCAAGATAATTATAAGTAAATAATATAATTATAATTTCATAATTATACTGGGGTAATATATTAATACGATTATATAAAAATATAATTATATCAGGGTAATACTGGGCATTTATGTCTGCACAGTAAGCAACCCCACACATGTCACTCCATTGGCTGGATTTAGACTTGCCCTCCCTCTCCCACCAGGGGACTTCATTTGAAGCGTTATACTCCTCCAATGTCAACCTTTCTTAGGTGAGCAGCACCTTTAGCAAGACTCCACCAGTGCTTTCTGAATTCGATGACTCACACAGCGGGGCTCAAGTCTGTTGTTAGAGCTAGATTACCTTGGAAGGTAGTGTCTGTCCCAGGGGAGGGGTGTTGTCACTTACTATGGATCCTATAAACCCATCCTGTGAACTGCCTTTTCTTTATATGTATTTTTCTAAATATAACTATTTCCCTTTTAGCAGTGAATGTTGTTGATTAGTCCCTTCCTTATCTGAACGTCTTTCTGATGTCCCTCAAGATAGGATTGGGGTCTCTGATCTGAAAGTTATTTGGTGCCATTCACTGCTGTTCTACTTCCAAACAGTGCCTGTGTAGCAAAGTGAATATTAGCCCTCCAAAGGGGGAGTGGTTGAGCAGCTGCCCCAGGCCACATGCTCACCAAACACCCCCTGGCAGGGCTGCTGCAGCCCCTTCCAACAGGCTCAGTCCTCCTTCAGTGTGGACTCCACCCCTGACACTTCTGCTCCCTGAGGGAGGACTGTGCTTGTCAGGACACCCTGCATTAGAGCTAGAATTTGTGAGTTTCAGCCAGAACCTTCTGCTGTTCTTCTCTTTCAAGGATAGCCTACTCGTACGTGTTTGTGCTCTGATACACGGTTCAGAAGTGCACCCAGATGTGGGTGTCCTTCAGTAATCTCACCAAGTCCTTGTGCTTCCTTTTTACTCAGGGTGGACACAGAGTTGCCAGGCCTTTTCAGCTTTAATGAACAGTTCCAGACAGATATTCCTAAGAATTTCACTTGTCAAGCTGGCCGGTCCTAGATTTTTGCCAGGTTGATTGGACAATCTCAGAATGCCATGCATCATATCACCTTTTCCAAATTAGGATGCACTTCTTCATTGAAGACTAATTTTACTATATCATCCATAGAATGAATCACAGAATACATGTGGCTTTTGGGTTTTTGTTTGTTTGTTTTTATTGTCCCCCAGAGAGTTATACTTGGCTTTTAAAAATCCAAATTAAACTAAGCAAAGAAAAAGAAGTGGGTTTTCCTCACCGTGCTCTGCCAGGTACTAGGGATGGACATACTGAGCGTTGTAATTCCTTCTGCTAGAATCTATTGCTTTCATCCTACCCAAGAGGAAAGATCTGGCAAGTTCATTTGTGTCTTCTCGGACGTAAGCACTGCTGCTGCTCAGATTCTCCTGTGTTCTAATGAAATGTCTCCCTCTAACACTGCAGTGACACAACTCAAAACCTTCAATGCATTCATCTGCAACCAGGCAGTTACCTTGGGTCTTAAGGACATTGGGCAAGAGTTCTGGAAAAGAATTTCCCTGGAGCTTGAACAGTATCAGAAGCAAGAGAGGATGTTTAGGGATATAGGTCATGCTGTGCCAGCATTGAGCACAGGATTTCAAGTGACAGAAACGCCATATTTTTCTTAATACATTTCCTGCTTATTTTTGTATTTGTGATATGTGGAGTCCTCTAGAGCAGTAGGCAGCACACTTACGGCTCTAGGACCAAACCCAGCCTGTGGTCTGTTTTTTAACTGCCCACAAATCAAGAATGCTTTTTACATTTTGAAAGGTTGTTTAAAAAAAATAATATGTGATAGAAACCACATGTGGCTCACAAAAACTAAAATATTTACTACCTGGCTTTTTACAGAAAAAGTGTGCCAAACCCTGCTCTAAAACACAGGGTGGGGGAGGGGGTATTGCCCAGGTCTCAGACAGCGATCACTGTTTTTCCCACTTAGCCCTGTGAGGGTCCAACACTGTGAGCCCAAACTCGAGTCTTAGCTGTGGCATTTTAGCGCCACCTTCTGGTCCAACGTTTTTCACCGGTGCTGTAAACAAGAGAAAGTCTTCCAAGTTTAAACCTCATTTTATTAATTGGATTGATTGATTTAATTTGCTGAGGCAGCCTATTGGAACTGCAGGTAGATTCTCCATGTTTAACTGAGTTGTATTTATTCACACACATCTCAAGGCTTGAAACTGTTGTTGGCCGGCAGACCAACCGTGTATCACACCACCAGCCATGAATAAAGTGATGCAGATTTAGGACCTACAGGAAGGCCATTAGCTACTGGGATGTAAGAGGTCATGGGGAGGTAAAAGTGAACTGTGATTCTATTTTAAGGAAATGGTGGTAGCAGAACAAGTAGAAAACTCTGGGAAGAGATGGCAAGTTCCGTTTTCAATCATTAGACTGATTTAAATTTCACCTTCCAATCTCATGGTAGTTTTTATTGATATATTCATGTGGGCTTATATATAAGTGACATGAATGACAGCAGTAATACAGAGAAGAGGAGGGAGAAGTTGCGGGTTATTTTGTTATTGTAATGTACGCTACCCACGCAGTGGTTTAGTGCTATTTGAAAGTGGACTTGAATCAGTTATAAATGTGTATTGCAGACTCTAGGGAACCCACTAAAAAAAATGGGGAAAAAAAGTTAACTGATATGCTAAGAAAGGAGAGAGAATGGAATCATATAAAATGCTCAGCAATAACCATAAAAAACAGAAAGAGAGTAGAAGACGAAAAATAGGAAAAAAGAAAAAGACCACAAATATAAAACAAGAATGAATATGGTAGATATTAACCCACCATCACTAATCACTTTGAATATCAATGGTTTGAATGTACTACTTAAATGACAGAGGTTGTCAGGGTGGATAAAAAAAAACTCAAAAACGCAACCTACCTGTATGTTGTCTACAAGAAACCTATTTCAAATATAAATACATATGTAGATTAAAAGTAAATGGATGGAGAAAAATATACCATGCTACTACCATTAATCTAAGAAAAGTATGAGCCACTCTATTATTTTCAGAAAGAGCAGACTGCAGAGGAAGGACAGTTATCAGGCGTGAAACAGAATGTATAACATCCAAACGAATAGAGTAGAAAAGGGGAAGTAAAGTAAATTTAATCTGACCAATAAAGCAGGGTCGCCAAACTACAGCCCATGAGCCAAATCTAGCCTGTTGCTTGTGCTTGCGTAGTCTGTGAGTTAAAAATGGTTTTACATTTCAAATGGTTGGAAAAAATCAGAAGAAGAATATTTTGTGATGTGTCAAAATCATACGAAGTTCTAATTTCAGTGTTTACATTTGAAATGTTACTGGAACATAGCTAGGCTCGTTGTTCACATCTTGTTTGGAAAAGTTTCGACAGAGACTGTATGGTCCAAAAGGCCTAAACTATTCAGTATCTGGCCTTTTACAGAAAAAAAATTTGTAATAAGAAATAGGAAAAACAGAGAAAAATCAAGCAGCCGGATGTTAATACATTACTGAGTGACACTAGTATTATGAGTCATCGTCACCACTGCTATGATCAGTACATACTTCTGGAGACCGCTTCCTGAAAAGCTTCAAATTGAGAGAAATGGCCAACAGGCAGTTGGATAGTCCCGAACTGGGGAGAGGAGATTAGGCTGTCCTTCCCTCAGTTCCTCTGGGGTCAAGCTTTGTGCCCACACTGCCTCTGAGCGTACTGTCGCGGGGGACCCTGAGATGTGGGCTGCAGCAGCTGGGGAGGCCCCGGTGCCTGCGAGCCTCCAGCTGTCTGAGCAGCCCCCTTCCTCTCTAGCTGCAGGGTGCCGTCATGGTTGCTTCCTGTGTCCAGATGCTTGTGGGCTTCTCAGGCCTCGTTGGATTTCTCCTGCGCTTCATTGGCCCCTTGACCGTTGCTCCCACCATCTCCCTGGTGGCCCTACCTCTCTTCGAGTCTGCGGGCAGTGATGCGGGGATTCACTGGGGGATTGCTGCCCTGTAAGTGTTCTGGGGAGGGGGCGCCATCTAAGTTCTCTGGGGGAAGACAACTGCAAGGACTGGTGGAATGACCTGAAAGACAAGCCAGTCTTGCACTCCGGCCTCATGAGCTCCACCTGCTGCATCTGTCCAGCTGCCGACCCCCAGGGAAGAATAGCCTCCCTTCCCACTTTTCCTCTTCAGCCACCAGCAACTTCTGAATGGGACCAGCCCACCTTTTCACATGGCAGGACCCGGCTGCACTGTAGAGCGGGGCCCGTGAGGACCCTGCCGGCTCAGCCACTGCCCCCTGAGCCCCGAGCCATGTGGTGGCCCAGCTTCCTGGGCCCTTGCTCAGGATGAGCCCCAGCTCGCTAGGGTGGTGTGATTTCTTTCTGTTTCAGGACCATCTTCCTCATCGTGCTGTTTTCTCAGTACCTGAAAAACATCGCAGTGCCCGTGCCCGTGTATGGAGGCCAGGAGAAGTGTCACACCTCTAGGTTCTACCTGTTTCAGGTTTTCCCTGTAAGAAGCACTCCCCACCCTCTTCCACTCTTAGTTGGCTCCCCTGGAGAGTGAGGGGCAGCCTCTCACACTTGCAGATGGCTCCCCAGGAAGGGCTCTGCGTCCGCAGTGGCCTCTCCTCCTTGGCCCTCCTTCGTCTACTGGAGAAGGAGGCTGAGAGGGGGCCCGCCGCTGGTGGGAACTCACCCTGGCCTCTGGGACAATGCGCCTCAAGTCGTTCCCCAGTGCTCCTCTCCCAGGAGCAGAGAGCTCTGCCCTAGGGCGCTGCTCTTGACGTCAGGGTGGGGCAGCCTTCTCCCGGTCCCTGGGCCGTCCTCACAGCAAGCTGCCCGAGGAGACGGCCAAGCCCACCACTGATCACACACAACTAAGGACCAAGTTGCCTAGATCAGGTTCTTTCTCACTGGTTCCTGGGTAATCCAAACTCCCTGTGATGATGCGGGTGCCTCCCTTTCAGAACTTTCTCTGTTGAATTGGCACCACACTGTCAAGTATGTGCAGCTGTTGACCAGAGTGTATTCAGGCTTCATTTAACTGAGAACTACATTTCACATGGTGAAAAGATACTTCCACGTAATGATCTCATTGATCCTTCAGCAGCCCTGTAGGCCAGTGGTTCTAAAATTCTGTGCACATAAGAATCACTTGGCGATGTTGCTAAAAATACAGATTTCTGGTGTTCTGCCACCGGAGATTTAAAAAATCAATATACCAAGTCCCCACTTTAAGAAATCCCACTTCAGGCTCTACAGAGCAGCGATTGTAACTCTGTTGTACACATGGAGAAACTGAGGCTCAGACTTTGATCCAAGGTCATGTGACCAGCAAAGAGTGGAAAGGGAGGTGATAATCTTCGTCATCCATGTAATGCTTCTGACCCAGACTGTGCCCACTTTACTAGACATTTCTGCCTCTATCTGACAGAAGGTCTCCTCATAGTTTATTTTCTATGTTCCTTTAATGCACTGATTGTGGTGCACCAGATCCCTGCGGTCACTGGAAGGGCCAGTAACCCAGTCCTCCTCACCTCAGAGCTGTCCCGAGCTCCCTTCTTTGCCCAGCTCCTCCGGGAGGCCGGCGGGAGTCAGGGCCTGGGCCTGGCAGTGAAGGGTGGCTCCTCTGGCAGGTGCTGCTGGCTCTCTGCATCTCGTGGCTCTTCTGCTTCGTGCTCACAGTCACCGATGTCCTCCCTGCGGCCCCCACAGGCTACGGGCACCTGGCCCGCACCGACGCCAAAGGCAGTGTCCTGAGTCAGGCTCCTTGGTTTCGCTTCCCTTACCCAGGTAACGAGAAGATGGGGCCCCTTTATGCCTGGGACACATTTCCCAGGACCATCCGTGCACCCAGGGCACTAGATGGAGAGCTGAGCAGGGCTGTGGGAGAGATCTCTAAGGAATCTGACAAGGGAAGGTGGGCCCTAGGGAGTCCAGATCAGACCCCTAAGAGAAGGAGGAGACCCTCGGGTGGTCCTAAGCATCCTTTGGGGGTGCTAGACCACATGCTTCTGTTCCCAGACCTACCTCCAAGCTGGCCTACATCCCTCAGCCCTTCGTCCATGTTGCCACGAACCTGTACATCTGGGAGTGGGGAGAGGATGTGGGGGTCCCACCTCCTAGCCAAAGGTTTGGGTCACCTCCTGGATTTGCTGGATCCCACACCAGGGAGGCTAGAGACAGAACATTTCTGGGGAGATTTGGTCAAGGCCATCCCTTAGGGCACTTCTCCTTTTCCAGTAGTTTTGACTCCGAGTATATATAAATAAGGTTTGGCTCAGAGTAGATAAACAGGGTTTCAGGGAGGGCTGGCCTGGCTTCATGGGCTATGGGGCGAGCACCTCCAGGAGTAAGAACTTTCAACTCCTCCAAGGTCTCTGGGAGAGCCCCGTTGCTGGCTTGTTTTATGCACAGGGACCTCAAGGTTCAGGTGTCTAACCCATCTCAAGGAGGAGTGGGGGGGGCAGGAGTCTGAGCCACAGCCTCCGGACAGCTGTGGAGCTGAAAGAAATACTGCCCGGTCTTTAAAGCCTTCCAGAGACCCCTTTAGCAAAGAAATTATGTGGGGTTTAGCACCTTGTTATCTTCTGGATTACTAGTCCCTCTGACTGCGTTTCCAGGGCAGTGGGGCCGCCCCACCATCAGCCTGGCCGGCGTCTTTGGGATCATTGCAGGAGTGATCTCCTCCATGGTGGAGTCAGTAGGCGATTATTATGCCTGTGCCCGGCTAGTGGGGGCCCCGCCTCCCCCGAAGCACGCTGTCAACCGTGGCATTGGCATGGAGGGTCTTGGCTGCCTGCTGGCCGGCGCCTGGGGGACAGGGAATGGCACCACCTCCTACAGCGAGAATGTCGGGGCGCTGGGTATCACCAGGGTAAGCTTGCTGGTGATGGCCCGTGGGGCAGGCTGGGGGCCTGAATCTGTCACCAATGTATTAGTCTCTTATTTATCATGTAACCAATTATCAAAAGCTCGGTGGTTTCAAACAACTTAAATTCATTATGTTACTGCTCTGGAGCTCAGAAGTCCGCGTGGGTCCCAGGGAACTCAGATGAAGGCATTCGTAGAGGCGCGTTCCTTTCCAGAGCCCCGTGGAACCCCACTCCTTGCCCTCTCCATCATCTAGAGGCTGCCCGTGTACTTTGGCTGCGCTGCTCTTCCTCCCCAGTCAAAGCCAGCAGCGTCCCATCTCCCTGACGCTCCCCCGGTAGTCACATCTCCTTCTGACCACAGCCAGGAAATTGACTCTGTTTATAAGGATTCATGTAATTAGATTGGACCTGTCTGGCTAATTCAGGATATTTTCTCTATCTCAAAATCCTTAATCACACCAGCAAAGTCCCTTTTGCCATGCAAGGTTATATAGTCAAGGTTTTGGGGATTAGGGTGTGACGTCCCTGAGGAGCCAGTATTCTGTCACTGTACTGGACTTTCTTTGGTCGTGGTGATCCCACAGGCAGAAAGTCGTGACACTGGCAGACGTCAGTGGCTTTGTGAGCACTGAAGGGTTCCCCCACTTTCTGAAGGTTAGATGGGATGTCCTTTACCTCCAGCCAAGCCACAGGTCAGGCCTCCAAACCTCAGTATTCAACTGCCATCTGGTCATTTCCACCCGAATATCCCAAGGGTACTTTGGTTTGTGATGAATCTATCAATGGCTTGGGGTAGTGTGGACATTCAACATTATGAATTCTTCAGACCCATGAGCCTGGGAGATCTCCCCATCTGTTTATGTTTTTTGGTTTCTTTCATCAGAGTCTTAACAGTTTTTAGTGTACAGATCCCTTCACTTCCTTTGTTAAATTTATTCCTCAGTATTTTACTGTTTTTGATGCTATTGTGAGTGGATTGTTTCCTTTCTTTCTCAGATCTTTTGTTGCTGGTGTATAGAAATGCAACTGATTTGTTTGTTGGTTTCGTCTCCTGCACCGTTAATGATTCATTGATCAGTTCTAACAGTTTCTTGGTTGGGTTGTTAGGATTGTCTGTATATGAGATCATATCATCTGCTTGTTGTACATGGCCTTGATTGTGTTGAGGTATTTTTCTTCTATACCCATTTGTTGAGATTTTTTAATCATGAAAGGATGCTATATTTTGTCCAGTGCTTTTTTTGCATTGAATTGAAATGATCCAATGATTTTTGTCTCTTTGTGTTCATGTAGTATATCACATTTCTTGATTTGCGTGTGTTGAAACATCCTTGCAGCCCAGGGATAAATCCTACATGCTCGTGGTGCATGATCCTCTTAATGGGCTGTTGAATTTGGTTTGCTAGTATTTCGTTGAGAATTTTTGTATCCGTATTCATCAGGGACATTGGTCTGTAGTTTCTTTCCTCATAGTGCCCTTAACTGGCTTTGGAATCAGGGTAATGCTGGCCTTGTAAAATAAGTTTGTGAGGGAATTATTATTAATCCTATTTGGTAAATTTGGAGGCTGACGTTTGGAGAGGATAGGTAATGTGCCCACTGTCACCAGCTTGTTAGAGGCAGAACTGGCTTCCGAACCCTCATTCTTAAGCATTGGGCCACGGCCTCTGAGAGAGACTCCTTGCCCCTCTGTGGGGCTTCCTAGGGGAGGAGCGTTTGTCAGGACTCGAGGACAGGGGTGAGAGCAGCAGAGTGCGGAGGTGGGGGCAGAGGCTGGGACCCAGGGCCACGTGCTTGTCATTTCCCACTCCCCTAGTGTGGGCAGAGGAGGGCCACTCTGAGGCTAGGTGCTGTTCCTGTCCCCCCCTGGAGTGTTGTTCATGGTGCCCCAGGCAGGGCAGAGCCCCTGGGGCCTCCAGCCTGGCCGTCCTCAGCTCCTTGCCCCCCATCTCTCTGAGCATTGCAGGTGGGGAGCAGGATGGTGATTGTCGCCGCGGGCTGTGTGCTGCTCCTGATGGGCATGTTCGGGAAGATCGGGGCTGCATTCGCCACCATCCCCACCCCCGTGATCGGAGGCATGCTCCTGGTCATGTTCGGGGTCATCACTGCCGTGGGGATCTCCAATCTGCAGGTGACTCAAGGCCCCCTTAGAAAAACAGTGACATTGCATCTCTTGAAGGGAGCACATGAGGATTGAGATGAATGGAATAGGGGTGGGACCAGGAGGGGAAAGGAATCCTTGGTTCCAGAAACCACACTGGCCCCCAGAATAAAGAAACAGCCTGAAGTATCCAAACTTCTGAAAAACAAAACCCACATCAGTTTGAACTGGATAACCCAAACCACAGCTCCCAGTGTTAGGAGGGTGTCAGGGCCTGGCCTGCCTGCTGAGAGGGTACAGGGGCTGAGGGGTCCGGGCTGCCACGAGGGCTTCTCTCCTGCAGTACGTGGACATGAACTCGTCCAGGAACCTCTTCATCTTCGGCTTCTCCATCTTCTGTGGGCTCGCCATTCCCAACTGGGTGAACAAGAACGCTGAGAAGCTCCAGACAGGTGATTCTTCGTCCTACAGACTGTGAGCACTCCAGGGACGGAGCTGGTGGGGTCCCTAGTCCTGGGAATCCCTAACCCTTTGTCTCCCCTCTAGGGATTCTCCAACTGGACCAGGTCATCCAGGTGCTGCTGACCACGGGCATGTTTGTCGGTGGATTTCTGGGCTTTCTACTGGACAACACCATCCCTGGTAGGGCTCCTCTTTGTCTCTAAGTTAGCAGTTTGGGTGGACGATCAGCATTTGAGCCAGCACCTTGCTTTTCCAGCATGAGGACCATGCTAGCTGGCCAGAGCTTACCCTGAGCAGGCTCTGGGTCCAGGTGGTGTGTATGGGTCTGTATTAGCTTCCTAGGGCTGCTGTAACGAAGTAGCACAGACTGGGTGGCTTAAAAACCAAAATATATTTTCTCATGGTCTGGAGGCTAGAAGCCTGGATCAGGCTATCAGCAGGGTTGGTCTCCTGAAGCCTCATTCCTTGGTCACAGATGGCCGCCGTCTTGCTGTGTCCTCACGTGCCCTTTCCTCTGTGTGTGCGTCCCTGGTATCGGTGTGTCCTAGTCTTCAGTTTTTGTACACATACCAGCCAGATCAGATCAGGGCCCACTCCAAAGACCCCATCTTTAACTCAATCACCTCTTTAATGGCCCTATCTCCAAATACAGCCCCATTCTGAGGTTTGGAGGGGTAGGGCTTTAACATGTGAACTTGGGGGGCACAGTGTAGTCCATACAGGGCCTTAAGGTGAGAGCTACACCAGAAGCAAAAAGAAAAAGAGACAGCCCGAGCTCTCATAGAATCTGCACTCCAGTTGGTTAGGGGGAGGACACATGTATTCATTCATTCATATTTTCGATAAAAATCCATTGAGTATTTGCTGCATGCTAGGTGCTTCATATTGAGAATACAAAGAGCAGAAAGACATGGTCACTGCCTTCCAGGAGCCTATAGGCTAAGAGGGGAGAGAGGCAATTACAATGCAGGGTAATAAGCGCAAGGATGAGGAACCTGAGTCTGTCCATGCTGAGGACGCCGACGGGCACCCGGGCGGGGCTGCCATCACAGATGGCCTTCCACACTCCCTTGATCCTCCTCCCAGCCACTGACAAGGCCTCTGTGATAGCCCCTGCTTTGCAGTATTCTATTTTCCACATTTCTTCCCTCTACCAAGTGTAAAATGTGATACTTGAGGAGGGCTTGGAGAAGGAGGGGAGGTGTCTCGGGCAGGTGCAGGGCACCAAGGACCGCCTGAGTGCCTGTAGGGGATGCCAGAGGCTCCCTCCCCACACATCCAGCCCTGCCCCCAACGCTTGACTGCTTGCTGTCGCCCCTGCTAGGCAGTCTGGAGGAGAGAGGTCTCCGGGCGTGGCATCACATCCAGGAGGAGTCCAAGGAGACTGAGAAGGCCTGGGAGGTCTACCACCTTCCCTTTGGGATTGGCACCAAGTTCTTCACTTCCTCCTGCCCCCGCTGCCTCCCCTTCTGGCCCAGGCTGGACCCTGGGAGGAAAGGTGAGGGGGCCGTGAGCCAACTCACCCTCTGCTCCCAGGAGTCAGGAGAGCGCCCGAAGGGTGCGACAGAGACCAGGATGTGAAGAGAGCTCTCCAGACACGCGTCCCAAAGCCCCCAAATGGGCTGATCTCCCCACTCACAGCAGCTGAATAAGTGTTAGATTAAGACTGTGACAAGGGCTCTCTGAGGTGGTCACTTAGTCACCACGACCTTGGGCCGTGCTCCGGGCAAGCCCATGTCCTGTCTCCTTTAAAGCATATAACCTGTGTTCACACAGTAACTGTCCTGGTCCACGTGCTCCTGGTGGTACTTTGACAGCTTAGGAGGAAGAGGCCTGGGTGGGGCAGGGAACCCAGTCGAGCTGTTTGCTCGAAGGTGACAAGAATGGTTTTCTTGGTCCCCAAGCGGGAGGAAGCCCTCAGGGCTGGCTGTTTGGGCAGGATGCGGGGCGCCCCTCGTTCCTTCAGGAGCTCAGGGAGCCGTGGCTGATCTCGTCCACCTGAGCTGTTCCTGATGGGAAAGTGAAGTCCTTAGAGATTGAAGCCTTTACAAATCTGCTTTATTGACTGTAATTTTTCTCCCTGAGAAGCTCAGTCAACTCCCACTGGCAGTAAGGTTTCCCGGTCACCTTGTCACTTCCATGCTACTAAATATACCAGCCAGAGTCAACATTACTCCTGTTTTGCTGGAAAAGTGTCATCCTTGTGTATCACTTTAGTTGGTTAAAAGTCATGAACTTTCTTTTTCACTATTTCCTGGAGTTTTTAAACCAGTTCGGCTCTTTGAACAGATTTTCATTCCTAATACAAACATCTTGTGTTGATTTTAAAACCTATCCAGTCTGTTTGTTCCTAGAAGACATTTTGCAGTTTTAGCCGATGAAAAGCTGACAGTTATATTTACATAATTTGTACACATTTTTCTTTTTGCTATAAGGTTAGAAAATAAGCTCATGTGAAATGTAACATTCGTAAGACTCTAGTGGAAACTGATTAACAAATAGAAATGAACCTTAATTTTAGGATAATGAAGAATGGGGAAGATCTTTAATTGCACTTCCTACGGGACATCTCCACCCTACTCCTGCTTTGAACCCCACACCGCCAGACTTCCCACCTATGCCCCTTATTTTTGGCATCAGCAGAGCCCATGTCACTATTCTTGAGGACGTTAGTGTGCTGCTCACTGTCTCTCTGGCAATCCTCCTGGCCACTTGGTGACTGTGCACCCACACAGCTCATCCTTCCCCCACCCTGCCTCTCATCCTGTAGCTCCACGCCTGCAATGATCTGGTGCTTTGTGCCATCTCAGCTGCCCATTTCCTGGCCACATTCCAGCCTGGACCTTGTGAGGACCTGTGATGCACCTCCTACAGTTTCAATTCCAAGTGATTCTCTGACCACTGCTTTATATTTATCTAGTTCCATACCTCTAGTGTCCCCAGTCCAGTAACCGTTCAGTTGCCCAAGACCTGAATCTCCCGTCCATCCTCCCTCTTGTCCTCTCTTCCCTCCTTGCCCAGCTTCAGTTCCGTGATCTATCACAATAGTCACCTTCTTGCATGCTTAACGCCCTTGGTCTGCTCACTGTCATCTCACTTGCTTGGCACAACCTTAATGCTGATCAGAAGCAACTCTTCCCCTCCCCTGTCTGTACGTGCACCCATGCAGCTGGATGTTACTGGAGAGAACACACACCTGTGCTGACAGGTCTCATCTTGATCATGGCCATGAACTCCACATGGGTCCTTAGTGCTGCCTGGAAGCCATGCCGCCTTCCCTAAGGACTTCGGCTCTCTCTTCCCCTGCCTTCAGAAACCACTTCCATCACGTCCTCGCCCTGGCTCTCAGCTTCCTATTTCACCAAGAAATCTGTGGAGTTGCCACCAGAAGAGGACATGTACAAGCAGCCATCTCTCTCCACCTGCCAGCCTCAGCTTTGGCTGCCTCTCCTGTTACAATGGCTGAACTGTCCCCGGTGGAGAGGAAGGGCATGAGTTCCATCCGAAGGTAGTTTCATGCCACCAGTCTGTCCTGGGCTGCCCAGATGCCCAGTGAGCCCTGTGGGAGTAGGCAGGCAGTGAAGGTGGGGACACTTCTACACGGCTGTGGGGAGAAAGGACACAGCATCCTGCTGAGGTCCGTGCTGACCGGGGGCCACTGCAGAGATGCTCCAGGAATGAACCCGCAGCCTTGGGCAAGGAGGAGCCGGTGCAGTGAGGAGCAATAAGGGGGCGCTGGTTCCTTGGGGGTGCAGCCATCTCTGTAAAGGCCTGCACTCTGGCTTGTTCCTGGCTTGCTGAGTCTCTGGGGGTGGCTGGCCTAGCACCATGCCACGAGGGCCCCTCCTCCTTTCTTCCCAGCACAAGCTCAGGCCCTGGGCATGAAGGCCCTGCCTGTCCCCTCGATTTGCTCATTTGCGGACAGTGAAGGGCCAGTGGTTGTCCTGGGGGTCAGCTCACGTGTCACAGGATGGCAGTGAAGCCCCAGAGCTGGGACTGTGGCGTCAGGCAGGACTGGCTCAGATCCTAAGGACCTGTGTGTCAGGCTCTCCAGGGCGATGAATCAAAGAGCACGAGGGAGGCCTTCAGGGGAAGGGAGCTGCTGTTGCTACGACGTGTAAACTCTCACGAGCCAGTGAACCCATTCTCTCTGCACACTCAGGAAGGGTCAGGGTTCTCCAGAGAAACAGAGCCAATAGGATGTAGGATGTGTGTATGCTTATGTGTGCATATACACATCCATGTGCACATAGTCACACACACACAAAGACACACAGAGAGAGAGAGGTTTATTTTAAAGAATGGGCTTGTGTGATTGTGGAGGCTGGTAAGTCCAAACTGTGCAGGTTAGGCCGGCAGGCTGTTGCAGTGGCAGTTCCAGTCTGAAGGCGCTCGGCAGATTCTCCTGTATCCCAGGGAGGTCAGTGTTTTGGTCTAGTCATTCCTTCAACTGATTGGATAAGGGCCATTCACATAATATGGAGGGTCATGTGCTTTACTCAAAGTCTACTGATTTGAATGTTAGTCTCATCTAAAATACCTTCAGAGAAACATGTAGAATAGTGCTTGACCGAATATCTGGGTACTGCGGCCTGGCCAAGTTGACACGTAGGTTTAACTACCACATCCACTGTGCACCCCCCAGCACATACCCACTCTTCCTGGAGGACCCTCTCCAGAAAGTGCTCAGAACATGGTGGCATCAGGCCTGGACTCCATTCAGGAGTCCTTATTCCCAGAAGCAGGTGCAGCTGGCTCACTCTGATGTCCTATAGCACAGGGCTCCCAAGGCGTGCAGGATGAACAGGTGGGTTCCAGAACCTTCTAGAACCCGCCAGAAGAGTGCCCTAAACCCAGAGTATGCTGAAAGTACCCAGTGTCATGCCAACTCCAGGGACAGATCTAGCCTGTTCTCCTCCTGAAAGGCCCATGGCTGTACCCCCTGAATATGAGCACAGTGGAGCAGGTGTGGGGCCTACAGTAGGGCAGTCCTTCCTAGCAAACGATCCTGAAAGACAGACAAAGGGCCACACCACTTTTGAATACCTTTAATAATCAGAAACAAAAAGTGAAAACCATTGAAAGGCTTCTGGGACAGCCCACTCCAAAATGCCCCGGAAGCCTGAGGCAGGTGTAACCTTGACTGCCAGCACTTAAACTTGGAAACAGCCCACCCTCATTCATTCCCTTCTATGCCCAAGTCCCCCCATCACAGGTCTTCATCATCATCAAAGGTCTCCATGCACCTCAACATTATCATCTCATCATCAATGGGAAGGTCTGGTTCCTGCAAAACACAGGGTAGAAGAAAATTACATTTTTATTTAAATTTAATTTATCCAGGCCCCCAGCAGAAGAGAGGGCCCCACCATCAGGCACACCCTGCTCCCTCAGTCTCTACTTCCAGCCAAGATGGTAGGGCTATGGGGGGAAGGTCCAGTTTCCATTTCACCAACTCCATACTTCATGATCTCCAGATGGGCTTTTCCTGGAAACAGTAGAACTGGCTTCTTTCCTGTCCTGGGGATTTCCAAGGTCCCATATCAGAGACCGGGGAAATCTTAGAGCTTTAACCAACTGCCCAGCAGTAGAGGACAGTGAATTACAGCACAGTGTCCCCCTTGATAAAACAATGTGCAGCTGTTTCAAAACAAGGAAGGAAATGGCTCTCTAGTCATGGGATACACTGTTAAAGGAGAGCAATGTATGAAGCAATGCACATAGTAGGCACATTCATATTTGAAAGAATATATAAACATCTGTAGAATATCTCTGGATGGCTGCACAAGAAATTAGTCAGTAATGGTAGTTGCTTCTGGGGAAGGGAATGGGGTCACTGACCAAGGGGCACTAGGAGGAGACAGACTAAGCTTTCTTTGCATATCTTTTGGTAACGGTCGAATTTGAAACCATGTACGCGGGTTAGCTATTGGGCTATTGGAGATCATTTTTTTAAGCAGCAGCCATTGTTTGCTTAGCAAGGGTTTCTCATCCTTTTTACAAAGACCCCAGCCAACCTCTCTGACTCCCATTACCTCTTCCTGTACAAGTATTTTCCTGGGTTTTTGCTCTTCCCGTCTCTCTGCAGCTCAACAGAAAATGACCCCAGTTGTTTGTTAGCTCTGCTTGTCAGAGGTCGACCCCCTTGGGCCCTGGGAAGATTGCTAAACCCAGTCAGCCATCTCATGAATATGGGACCTGGTCCCAAGATTGGGGGCTGATTCTGCAATCCAAGGCTCTCCAGCTTCAGGAATCTGCATTTCCAACCAGCATCCCCAGCAACTCAAGTCTGAGCGCCTCTGTGTTACGTGGATACTCCCATCCCGCGTGGTCTTCCTTTTCCGCCACATGTGGGGCAAGGATTGTCCCATCACCCCAATCCCACAGCCTTGGTAAAGTGGACTGACTCCTGTGTTCTGGAGAAGGAGGGACACAGTGGTGAGGGACAGACGGCCAAGGATTGGTGGAAGGTGGAGAGCAAACCAGAGGGAAGGGCCCTTGGTTCCAGGTTGGAGACTCAGTGGTCTCGGCAGAGCGAAATGAGGGGTTAGAGGGGAAAAGGGCCACTTATACCTTAGCCTATTGGAAATCTGTCCTAATTATTTTTAGACAAACATTTTTGTGATTATTGCTCACCTTTTTAATAAGCAGCTGTGTTTGCTAAATCAGTAGAGAGAAACCCACAGGTATGAATCTGAAAGGCGCCTGTTCCTTTGTGGCTCAGGTGTAAACCCCTCCCTTCATGAGAGCTTCTGGAATGTACCTTCTAACCAAGACCCTCGCTACTTAGTCACCATAAGCTGCACAGTCAGCTTTCAGGAAGCAGAAATTAATACCCTTTGAGAGCCTAGAGCACATATTACCCCCGGGTCTCATACGGTGATTAAGCAGCTTGGGCTCCTGGAAAGGTGTCAAGGAATGACACAACATTTGCAAATGCCTGTGGAGAGCCAGGCCTCTGGGATATGGCTGCTACTTAATGGGCTCCAGTCTCAGGCTGCCCTGGAGGCGGTCCATCTCTCTCTTCCCTCAGTCTCCCCCCAGCATCTTCTATTCCACAGGATGCATCAGGCTGAGGTTGACCATCCCTGGAGCAGCATGGAGGGGCACCGGCTGCCAGGGGCCCCCTGGTGAGCTGGGTGAGGGCCACTAGGGCTCCCCTCAAGAGCCCTAAGGGAGGTGAGTGAAGGTCTCCACCCTCTGCTCTGTCCTACCTGTTTGATCTGAAAATTAACAGCCGGGAGGCCTTTAAAATAATTGATGATCTGCATGTAGAGCTGAAACTTCTCCTCTGGATTTTCAGGGTTGCAGCCAGCAAATGCTGAACTGGAAGAAGAAACAGCAAATATTTAGCATCCTAATCTTTTACCTCTGCTTGTACGCCCTAAAAGCTTTGGATTATAGTGTGAACCAAGCACTGCATCAGCGCTCGTGTTCCGTGTTAGACCTACCGCATGGGGGCACCTCAGGTCTGACGCAGACATGCGATGTGGCTCAGCAGCCGCAGGCAGACCAGCAGCCTAGGACATTGCTGCCCGAGGCCAACTCTTGGGGAGAGGGGGAATCTGGCTCCCCTGTTCCAGAGGTACAGCTGAGGACACTCAATGGGGTGCCAGTCTCCCTACACTTAAACCCCCAGCTGGATTCTCAGACCAGCTGGAGCCCTTCTTGGAAGGTTTGCATTGCCTCAGCTCCAATGCCATGCTTGGAACCTCCAGGGAGGTCTGTAGGGAGACTGGTTCCTGTGCCCTCATTCAATGTCCTCAGCTGTGCCTCTGGAACAAGGGAGCCAGATCACTGTCTCCCTGAGAACCAGCCTTGGGCAGCAATGCCCCACGCTCTTGGTCCACCTGTGACTGCTGAGACAGACAACTCAGGGGCCACGTGGCACGTCTGACTAGGTCCTGAGATGCTCCCGCAGTAGGTCTGACATGGAACACAAGCCCTGATGTGGGGAGAAGGCCTGTCCTGCAGACTCCCTTCCCACTGCCTTCCTGGGACCAGGGCAGAAGCCCCATGACGGGGACGCCCAGCGCCGGGCTGTGACCTCACTTCCTCCTAGAAGGAGATCCCACAGTCAGCCTAAGAACCCTCTGGCAGCAACCCTTGCCTTTTCTAGTGAAAAGTAGAAAGAACATTTTAAAATAGGTTGTTTTTTGGTTCTGTCAGCACAGCAAGGAGTTTCAGTATTGCTCGGCGAGGACACTTTGGCAAGCCTGAGCCCAGCTTAGAAACAGCATGTCCACCACCAGCTGGTTCCAGTAAAATCAAACTCCAGACACAGCTGAGAAGGGACAGAGTCACTGCACAAAATCACTGCAGGGGTTTGGGACAAGCCTGTCCAGCCGGGTGGAGCAGGTGACAGAGGAGAGAAGGCTGGCGTGCTGGCAGATGGCCAGGAAGCCAGGGTCAGCCCGTCCTCGCATCCTCGGCACAATGGAGCTGGTCCTTAGGGTCAGGGATGTATGTCACCCTCACTTCCTAGGCAGAAAAACTGTGCTTAGGCTTTTTAGCCATGCCACAAGCACAGGTGTCTGCAGGGCAGGTACCTTGGGGCTGAAAGACCACAGCTTTTCAAGGTAGCAGGGGGATTTCAGTCCTCCTGGCGCTCCCCAGAAAATGGCCCTGTGGTACAGACTTAGTCAAGTTGCTCTTTTAGAATCTCCCCAGATCCTGTTTTGTGTCTTCTCACTTCCTGTGGTCAGCCACCCCCACCTCCCTCCCTCCAGACCCAGGCCCACCAGCCCTGTGAAAAGCAGCTTTGCCTCCACCGGGTACAGCTCAGAGACTCCCCTAAGCTCAGCACTCAGGCCTGTTTCCATGCAGGCGCAGGTGCTATGTGCTCCAGAGGCCCCAGCCCACCTCCCAGACCAAGCCTACCGCTGCCACCTGCCTGCAGCCACCTCACCTGGGAGGACTGTGCAATGTGAACAGCCTGGAGTTGATAATCAGTTGTGTGTCAGCCCTGGGTCAGGGTGGAGGAATGTTTTACTCTGAAGAAGCCCCAGGCAAGATCCTCCCCAGAGCAATGGCACAATCCCAGGACCAGCCAACTTGGAACCACAGAAAAAGTGGATCTCCAAGAACTTCCCCTGAATTATGCAGCCTGCTGGGGGGCTGCAGGCGCCACGCCACGGAACATCCCCCAGGGGTACACACTCATGTATACACTCCAGGAACACACTCCTACACACCCCCTTCCTCACCTAGAGCTGGATGTGCTTGGAGTCTCACTTTTGTCCAGGAAACTTGCCACATCAAAGGTGTCTTCCAAAAGGATCTGAAAGAAAGCACAGAACTTCGTGTGTCAGGAACAGCTCTGCAGAGGAGAAAGAGGTATGACGTCCCTCTCTCTTTCTCCCTCATTCCCAAACGGCAGGCATGTTAAAGGTGGGGCCCAAACCCTGGGTCTCTGCTGGGTGACCTCCCCGGAGGGTGCATATCAAGCTCTTGCCCACCCAGAACAAAGTGCCAACCCTGGAGGCTGCTGAGAGGGGCAGGGAAGCACTGAGGACTGTGGTCTCTTTTTAAAGAAGGCAGGAGCTCAGGCTGCAGTTGCAGCAGCCAGAGCACAGCCTCAGTTTACACTGGAAAAAGGCTCATCTACACGGTCCCATGTGCAGAGACTATTTGAGCCCCAGGGCCACAGTTCAGCAGTTTCATGCCCAGGCAGCTGCACACAGAGGTTAGGGGCTCTGGGTTTAGGTTGTTGGGAGAGCCATCTCCCAGCCCTGCCTCACTAAGCTGTGTAGGCTCAGCCAAGTGATTTCATTTCTGGAATCCTGCTCTATAAAGGGGATTCACAACAGTGCCTGACCATAGGGATGTCGTAAGAATTAAATAAGATGATATATGCGAAGCACCTGGCACATGGTGATAGCTCAAATATGTTACCTATTATTGAACATTATCTGCTTTATAAAAGAAACACATGTTCATAGTGGAAATTCTGGAAAATAGAAGCAGATAAAGGAAATGAAAATCACTGACAAACAATCCCCCCAGAGATGTCCATTGTTGACATATTGATCTATTTCCCAATCCATATTATGTCGTATGTTTCCAATTTGGGACTCTTGCTTTTTAGATAGTTCACAGTCCTGCTTTCCTTTAATTTGTTGAAAAATATGAAATATTCAACAGAGATGTGAGGTACACTTAGGATTGCAAGATTTAGCAAATAAAAATAGAGGATGATTAGTTAAATTCAAATTTTAGATAAAGAATGAATAATTGTTTAGCATAAGAATGTACCAAATATTGCACGGGGCATTCTTATGTTAAAATTTTAACTGGATGTGCTTTATCTGGCACCCCATTCACACTGACAGGCACTCTGGGAAGAGGGGAGGGAGTCCTCTGGCCCGGAGTTGTCAGGTTCTGGCAGGTTCTATAGGGTCTCTCCTCTGCTCTCACCAGGGAAACGCTGCTCTCTCTCTGATGCCTTGTTTGTCCTCCATGTCTCAGCATCTGCTTCCCCTGAACTGAATCTCCTGGGACTCCAACCATGTGGCTGGTGTTCTAGTTTTCTGGTGTTCTTCTTCTGTTATCACTTTGGTCATCTCAATGAGGACCTGGAAGAGGTCACTGAAAGGCCTGACCTCCTCTGTGCATCAGCCCAGAAGCCCATCCACTGCGTTCCTCCAGGCAGGGCTCAGGCAGAGACCCAGGACCTAAGCTCCTGCCCTCAGCCAATCAGTCCACCAAAATTGCAGGCCACACTGTCCTTCCCTATGCAAATCCCTGGCACTAGCCACTCCGGGAGGGGCATGGGCAGGCTCTGTGGTCCTTCTGGGGCACCCAGCACCATACAGAGCCACATCTCTCAGAACTGAAAGGGCACCGCCCAGGTGCCTCCTGGGCACCCCTGACCCCAAACACAGCTGCTCCACAGCAGAACCTCTCTGGGAGCTCCAGTAGCTAAAGAGGTTTCACTGCAACTAATGTAGAAGTCACAGCAGGACTAACCACTCTGGGCACAAGTGTTCTCTGTTCTGCTAACCTTGGCACCCTGCGCTGGGTTGGTCCCAAACTGGGGATGCCGGTGTGGGCAGAGCCAGCTCTGGGCATGGCTGAGGGACTCTGCTGCCAGCATCCCTCAACCGCAGAAGAAAGTGAGCCCTTAGCCCTTCCTGAAGAACGCAGGACGAGCCAATTCCATGATTTGGGCACTTTAGATTCTGGGGCTTTCTCTTTGGGTCTGCTCTTGCCTGAACAAAGGTCTGTGTTGCAAATTCACCCACACGCAGTGGACAGTTTGACAGAATTATTCATGCATTCAGTGTATGTTTTCCTTTTGCCTTTTGTTGTGAGACTCCAGGGCCAGGTACTTCAGGGCTGCAAAGATGTCTAGGCGGGCTCACGTATGCCCTGGATATGAGGTCTTTGGCTGCTGGCCATCTGGCCTTGCTTTGACCATTAAGGAGAACTCACGTCCTCTCATGGTGGACCCAGCATGAGTGGACAAACAGATAGAAGCCAAAGTCCAGTGGAGTGATGCTTTGGTGGGGAGGGGACAGGGGGCAGTGGCTGAGTGTTGCAGGTCTTCACTGGGAGTCCCCTCCAGTAAGGCCATGGGCATCAGTCACCTGGGGTGGTTCTGAGCCACCCCACTTGGGGACTCTGAGTCAGTGGGTCTGGGGCATTAGCCAGCCACCTGTTTTTTTTACTAAATGCCACCTGAGAAGCATCAGGAGGGTTGACCATAAACAGGTATCAAAGGGCAGAGGGATTTGAAAAAAAAAAATCTATGATGAAGGAGATACAATCTCCAAGGAAGGAACCGGGCATCCTGGACAAGCCACCCCACTCAGCAGGCCTTGTCTGTAACCTGGGAGGACTGGGCCAGGTGACCAAGATCCCACAGCTCTCCAGGCCTGGGCCCTGCTGGCTGGGAAACTTCCCAGAGGACGGGTCCCCCCGGGGTCAGAGGCACTGGGAGGCTCTCGAGCGCTGTGACTCCCCAGACAGACACCAGACATCTCTCCTCAAAGGGACCACCCACTCCAGGGTGTGTGGAAATTCAGGGCAAGACCAGGGGTGACATGTACCTGACAGAGGCCATGGATGCTCAGTGACACAGACTGTAGGACAGGCTCAGAGAGCAAGAACTGCATGCCCCTGGGCTAGAGAAGCCAGGGCAGACCCGGCCCCGTGTGGGAGCAGCAGCCTGCCGAGGCTGGCCTAATTCTGGAAGAGGACTTGAGGGGCACACTTTGATCTCAGCGCTGAGTGGCCACTAATGCCACCAAACCATGGCCATTCTAGCCTTGAACTCTGAGAGCGCATGCATAGTGAATGTGGTCGCCTCCTCAACATGTGTCCCCCTCTCCTCACTGAGCAGCAGCCATGTTCTTTGGGGTGGACACTGACCTCCTCTTAGGGATTGGGCCCGACTGGTCCAAACATAATCCTAACCTGATTATGCCAGGCATTGGCTCAGTAATCTGACAACCTGGCCAATTCCAGCCAATAAGAGGGCAGGAGAGGTATGATGGAATTTTCTGGAAAAGGCCTTCCTTGACCCTTTAGCAAGAGCCGCAGGGAATCTCTCTCCTTACGGATACAGAGGAGGAGGAACGACAGCTCAGTCGCTACCAGTTGCCATCCCATGGTCACGTGGAGTGGGGGAGTGGGGAGGGAGAGCAGGTGGGAAGCCAGCCTTAGGATGAGGCAGAGCAGGGAGAAGGGAGGCGCCGAGTGCCTGTGACGGCGGCCGGGGCTACCGGGAGGCATTCCCTGTCTCAGGGCCTCCCTGGGTTTGAACAGTACGTTCTTCATGTTTATTGAAAAAGTAAAGTGCAGCCAAGAGTCCCAGCTGACACAGACTTCCAAGCCCTCTCTTATAATCCCCATGGCCAGGAAACTAACCAGAGCAAAAGAAATTCTGTGGCTGTGGGGATCATGTTGGGAAGCTCAGAATTCCACCCTGGGAGCCAGAATCCCAACACACCTTGAACTTGCTACATGACCCTGGGCAGATCCCTAGTGTCTCCAGGCCAAAGGTGAGAGAGTCGCTTTCAGCCCTCCACCCACCCAACAGGGTCTGCTCACCTCCTCGGGGGTAGAGGTGAGGGAGCAGCTGGCCCCCTGGCTCTCGACTCCACTGTCTTTCATGCTGCCCTCAGCACAGGCTGACTCCTGACAGGCCCCCGCGAGGCCTGGGAGGCTGCTGTGTATCTGTGCCCAGACCTGCAGGAGGCTGGCCTTCCTTGTTTCAGAGAGGTTCTGCCACAGGTGGGAGATGGCCGCAGAGACGATGGGGAGAGTCACCTCCTGAGAGGAGACAATGCCGTTCGCAGTCAGAAGGTCCATGGTCTGCTTGTAGAAGCTGAGATACCTGGAACAGAGACGGCACCGTTCCCAGGCCTGAACCGGCTGCAGGTCTCTCCGCAAGCTGTCTCCTCAGCGTGCTGCCTGCCGGGTGGTCCACAGCCCATGGGCCTTCCTGCAGCTCTGTGGTTTCCCAGGGGCTTAGCCCTCCTTGTCGCTGCATGCCCCTGACCCTTGGAGAGCAGAGGCCATCTTGCGGCCATGTGACATAGACCTGTGCTCTGGGGTCCTCCCCCAAGTCCTTGCAGAGCCCACGAGCAGCTCTCTGCCTGAGAGAAGAGTCGGCGGAGAGAGGCCTGGCGGCCTCAGCTCAGCCCCGGGGAGGTGCTTAAAATTCTGAGTCCATGAACCTGCAGACGTGATTTGATGCCCCCTTTAATTTGGGGCCTGAAAGTCAGGCTCAGCTGAGCAGTGGGCCTCCTCCCAGAAGCCACCACGGCCGCCAAGGGCCTTGGGTCTGCTGGGGGCCGTGAGTGGCACTAGGAGTCTGAGCTGACTTTTTGCTGTCCTAATTATAAGACCAATGATGCTGCTGAAGGCCGACTTGTGGGGGTGTGTGTGGTGAGGGGGGTGCTTTAGCCCTCATAATCCCCAACAGCCCCCCAAATAAACACCCACTCTGAGTAAACACAGTGTACATGCTCTGCAAATACAGCTTCCAGACCATTTCCCTAGCCCCTCTGCCAGCCCCCTGCCAAGCCCCTCCTGTACGCGAATGCCGAGCTTCCGCAGCTCAGCGCCGGGCCTGGCAGGGCTCGCAGGCTGCACCAGCCCCGGGGCCGGAGCCCCGGCCCGCCCCTCAGCAGCCGCACACCGTTCGAACTCCAGGGGGTCCGGCGGTGAGGTGGCTGGGGAGTGGGGGAGCTCCACTTTCTCCTCTTCCCCCTTCTCCTCGTCTTCATCCTCTTCTTGGTCTTCCTCCTCCCCTTCCTCCTCTTCCTCAGTGTCCTTCTCAGGGGCTTCAGTGGGGCACCAGGTGGCAGAACCTTTCTGCAGAACTTGGTTCAAGACCAGGCTGGTGAGAAAACAGAAGTAAGACAGCTACAGACTACGGCCCCCCAGCAACACTGAAATTCATAACAGTTTTAGCAAACACGTGTGAAGATGGCTACATCATGACCGAGCAGGGCTTTTCTTGAGAACGCAAGTTGACTGGTTTCAACTTTGAAGATCAGTCCCCAGAGCGCACCACCTCAGCAGACTGAAAGACCGTACGACCATCTCAGCAGAGGCAGAAAAGCACTGGCAAAACTCAATGTCCACTCATGAGAAAATCTCTCAGCGAACTCAGAACAGAAGGGAACTTCCTCAGCCTGATGAAGGGCCTCTGCAATGACCGGCAGCTAACGTCATATTAAACAATAAAAGACTGTTTCTCCACTAGATCGAGAACCAGACAAGCATGTCCACAATGACCACTTTATTCAAAATCACACTGGCAATTCTAGCCAGTCCAATAGGAAAAAAAAAAAAAAGAAATAAAAGGTATACAGATAGGAAATAAAGAGGTGACTTTCTTTGCAGACAATGTGGTGATTGAAGTAGAAAATCCCAGAGAATCTACGAATATGTGATTAGAACTCAGAAGGGAATTTAGCAACTTTGCAGAATATGAGGCCAACATACAAAAACTCAAAAAGGTCAGTAGTATTCCTATATACTAGTAGTGAACAAAATTGAAATTGTAAAACATATCATTTAGAATAGTACCAAAACCATGAAATACTTAAACTAATACTTAGATTCAACCCAAAAAGCTCAATTTAGAAAAGAAAAAATGGTAAGTTGGATTTTCTAAAAAATTTAGAATTCTGTTTTTCAAAAGACAGTTTTTAGAGGATGAAACAGTATGATGCAATTTGGAAAACCAGAACTTGTACCCACAGAATCTTTTCATACTGACAGGAGTAATCCCCAAGGTATCATGTTGAGTTAAAAAGCAAGTGCACTAGAGGAAAACAGGAGGATTTTTTTTTTTAGAGAAAGGCTTTCTGAGAATTTCCCCAAACTCAGGTACTATAACAGATCAACAGGTTAGACTTCATTTTTGCATGGCCAAAAAAACCCCACAGAAATGTCAGAAAGAAAATAATAAAACAAATGACCAAGGGAAAACTGTTCACAAGTCATACACTAGAAAGAGAGCTAATTTCTCAGTATATATAAGAGCTTCTAGCATTAAATAACAAAAAAGATCACCAATCCAACAGGAAAATGGGCAAAAAGTAGGTGCAAAAAGTTGTCACAAAGGAAAATACAAATAATCTTGAACAAAGGCATTTTAGCTCACTCATAATTTAATCAATCAATGAAAATATAATAACTCTAAAATATAATCAGTCTATTCCTGTGCTGGTACCACAGTTTTAATCATTGCAGGTTGATAATATTTCCAGTGAAAAATCCCCCCTAGTCATTATGATTTTAAAAGAAATGAAGCTATTCTCATATGGGCAAGTAACATAAGTATTGATAAGATTTTAGTATGTGATCAAGTTTATATCGTAAATCAGTAAGGCAAGGATGGCTTATGTCATAAACAGAGTGGAATCAGTGACTGGCCATTTGGGAAATGCAAATGTCCACCTCACTGAGACCATCTCCCAGGCCTATTGTGAGATGGGGCCTGGTCTGATTTGTAAAATGTGTCCACAGACAGCCTGCCACATACACTCAACACATACACACATTACACCTCCCTTCTCCCCTCTGGGTCCAAAATGGTGACGGCAGCTGTCTGTATGGAGTGCGATTGGAGGTGGTCATGTCCTTCTTTATGCTTTTCTGTATTCTCACATTGTCTACCATGCAAAATTCACTGAATTGTAATAATTTATCATTTCCCCCTGATTATCTCCCTTAGAATATAAAACATGTTCATTGTTGAAGAAATGTAGAAAACACAGAAAAGCACAGAGAAGAAAAAATGTCATCAGTGACCCCACCGAAAATGACAGGACATGATAGCACTTCATGTAGGCAGGCTTTTGGTAGGTTCTGAACAGCAAGCAGTTTGCAGCCCTATTTTCAGAGTGAATACATTTGATGGTACTGAGTCCCGTCAGAGGTCAACTTGAATATACACAGTGCTGTGGCGAGGGCCCGGCAATTGCCCCCCGAAGTGCAGCCTGCTTCCAAGGCTTTGGAAGCAGCTCTGCAGGGTGAAGATGTGGCACTGCGGGCTGAGCCATCCTTCAAGAGCACAGCAGCGAATACATCTACATGGCATACACAAAAATCCCAGACAGCCAGAGAGTTAAATAGCAAAGAGGAGAGCATAAAAGCATAAAAGGACAAGAGAGGCATTCTTAAATCAGCCCCTCTTTCACAGTTTGAGTGTGACATTTGAAATGAGCTCCCCTTTCAGCATCTGTGACATGCAGGCCTACCATGGTTTCCTTCCCTCTCTAACCTCCAACTTGCCTTTTCTTAGGTTCCTATGAAGCTTGGAAAGTGGGTGGAGC